AAGCACACCATTGATGCATTGCTTTCACACATTACTTCCTGACCTAATACTTACATGTTTGTTATTTAGTTATAATTTCAGGAATTCTGTAGATATTTCTGAACTCATTGTGAATTTTATTGGACTATCATTGGACACAGAGTCTAAAATCAAACGTCTGTTAAGAAACTGAACCTGTCTCCTCAATAACAAGATTTATGTTTCAAATTGTTCAAATCATCATTTAATAATGTCTAATATAGTCTAAAAAGTCTGAAAAATAAATTCCCTAGGCTATCTATAATCTTCCCTGATAATATTACAAAGAGTACTTGAAAATTTCATGTTCTGAATTAATTTCTTGTTATTATTTTTTCTGCTTATCACTACCTATTTTGCTACTATATATAGCTCTACTACAAAGCTTTCTTATTCTCATATTTGCATGAAAAATTCTATACTTCAACATCAAGCACAATGTCCCTATATTTTTTAGTGTCTTTCAGTGACAATGTGTTATATACCACTTATATTAGCACAGGAAAATATTTAACCAAACATTCAAAACCATGAAATTCTAATTTAACCAGAAAACAAATTACACAGAAATTTGACCAGAAAACATAAAGAATTATTGAACATAAAATGTTGATGGCTACATCAATCTTAAGCTTTCCCTGCAGTTCTGAAGAACTGAGAAGGAACTCAGCCCCTCTCTAAAGCCAAATACATGCCTGGCAGAGTCAGTAATTGCCCTGGGACTTGGATTCTGGGAGGCTGCAGCTTTGGATCCTGAAGATCCAACTCTCCTCACACTGAAGGACTATGATTAGTCCCAAGGTTGCATGTGCATGGCCCCTGCACCCTTGAAAGATCCTGTGTTCCCCAAATGCAGCATTGCTTGGTTGGCTCCTGCTGACTTGTCCTGTTGTGTCATAGTTTTTTTTTTTTTTGCTAAACTTGTTCCATTTTAACATTCTGGAAAAATTGTGTATAAGATACTCTGCCTCTCAATAAACTTGCTTGGCATAAGACATAGTTTGTGCAAGACTTCTTGACCCTAGCTTTCTTATATTTTTTAATCTTATCATCTTCTACCTTTCCTTTTATGACCCTGACACTGCTGGCCAATGTTATATAGGGTAACAAGTGAGTTAGGATTAACAGGCAGCAAAGATGACTACAGCATGAAGATATAGTAGACATGAAAAATAAATAAACAAACATCATGCTTGAGTCTAAGAAAGGGTACCAAATGAAAACCTACACAGATACATGTGATTCCCCCCCACACACACACATGCAAATCCCAATTTAAAAACAACACTCATTTGAAGACCAAATATCAGGGCCCACCCAGCTGACCCAACACAAACTGCTGGAAAATTCACAGTGTTGATATGGTGGTAAATCCCCTCTGCATGTGGAGTCAGCTGCTCACATAGTGATTTCTTGATAGAGGTGAATAACGTGTATCAAGCTATTTGAGGAGCTTTTTGAAAAAGCAGCTGATATTTGGGTGCCATGGTCCAACACATACCAGGAACCTGAGTAAAGGAACTGCCCACACTGTCTGCCAAGCACAGTCTACCTGGTATTTGTAGCTTCATTGAAAAAAAAAAAACTATCCTTATATACTTACAATTTTTTTTGTTGTTGTTTTTTCGAGACAGGATTTCGCTGTGGAGCCTATCCTGGCACTCTCTCTGGAGACCAGGCTGGCCCCAAACTCAAAGAGATCTTCCTGCCTCTGCCTCCCAAGTGCTGGGATTAAAGACGTCCACCACCCATGGCCGGCTACAATTTTTTACTATGTGGTATTGCATTTCAGATATTATCTACATTCTTCATGTTTGTGCGTGTCTATGTTTATGTACTTAATTTTAAGTAGAATCCTTTGGTTTTACACTCATAGTTTTCCCTCTTAGTTTTCATGTCAATTAGATTCTTCTTTAATTAATACAGTTGGTCCTCTTTATCAGTAAGGTGTTTATCTGCAAACTGAAACATCAGCAAATAAAAAATAAAAACAGAAAATATTTTCATTATCACTGGGCATATTTGGAATTTCTCCATCATTGCTCCTTGCACACTGCAGCATGATAACTACTAATGCTGTCCTGATATCCAGATGTATTTTCTGTAGCATGTAGGAGATGATTTGAAATGTAAAGGAGGGTGTGCATACAAGATGAAGAGGCACAAACACCTGAGTGCACACTGTACTAATAAAATGGTAACACAAGATTGGGAATCAGATTGTCTATGCTCACAATCCAATTATTTTTATTTTCTAATTATGGGATACTTAGCAAGCTCTTAAATCTCTTCTACTTTCTTTTTCAATGCATACTAACATGGTATCAATAGGAAAGTTTATATAGAATAGTGTATATTGACTTTAAATGAAGAAATTAAGTAATTACTTTTCTAATGTTTTCTACAGCTTTAGACTAATTATTAATTTCTCACTGTTTAATTTTAAAATTCTTCTCATTCATTTCTTGACCACTTATCACTTAATGGATTAATAGACATGGATTTCTACAATTTGCTGAAACTTTTCATCAAATTGAGCAGTACTTTCATTATTGTTTGTCTGCTCTGGAACTGATTCCAAGGTGGGACTCCCAGTTCCCCACAGATATAAAATAGTTTTATTCTCTCTCTCTCTCTCTCTCTCTCTCTCTCTCTCTCTCTCGCGTGTGTGTGTGTGTGTGTGTGTGTGTGTGTGTGTGTGTGTGTGTGTGTGTGCATGTGTTTCAAGCTCATGTGCATAGAGGTAACATCACACTCTAGGCAAATGTGGACTTGGAAAGACTGGGATTACTGTGGTTGGAAGAAGGGAAAGGCAGAAAAGGGGGAACATGTGCGGGCAATATGATCAAGTGTCATATGCTTTGTTTATATGAAAGCCAACATTTTGTAAAATGCCATGCATAGATAAAATAGAAAAAACAATCAAAATAAATGTTATGCTGTAAAAAGCAACTAGAGCAGGTGATCTTCATCTTTGAAAATGTAAAAACTTCATAAACTCCACAGTAAAAGCACTTAACTAAATAAAATAGATCATTGGATAGAGTTTTAAAAAATGGAATCCTGTAGGTGGAGTTTTCCCATCCTGGCTTCACTTCCAAACAACTACTCTGAGACTTACATTAGTTGTTAACGCTTGGTCAGTCGATTAGGCTTATTATTCATTAGCTCTTAAATTTTAAGGTCAACCATAATCCTTATTTATGTTCTGCCACGACAGTTCCTTTACTAACATGGCATGTTCATCTCCTGCTCCCTCTGCGTCTACCGGACTCCTGAGTCCACCTTTTCCCCAGAGTTCTTTGTCTCTGGCTGTCAGGCCTAAACTTCCTGATTGCTATGGGCCTGTCAGCTTATTAGCTAGTGACAGTAATGTATATTCACAGAGTACAGAAATATTTTTCCACAGCAGGACTCAATGATGACTCATTTGAAGATATGTTTAACACACACCTATGAAGACCTTAGTTCAGATCCTAAGATTCTCTGGAAAAGCTGGATAGGGCAGAATGTATCCTTATTTTCTATATTCCGATGGTGAAATGGGAGGCAGAGAAAGGACAAATCCTATAAAGTCTTGGTTTGGCTGGTCTAGAAAACGCAGTGGTGAACAAAGAGACTCTGCTTTAAATAGGCAGAAGACAAAGACAGACACCCAAGGTTGTATTCTGTCTTCCACACATGAGCCATGGCATGTGTGCACCCACATCACACAGATGAACACAAGTGGGCACACACTCACACAGAACAATTAAAAAGTCAATTCTTATCTTTGAAAGACCCCATAAGGAAAATTAACTGGTAAGCCACATGTGGAAAGAAAATATTTACTAAACTACATTTGATGTAAGGAAATTTCTCAGACCTTAAAATAAGCAGTTCAAATTTGGTAATTCAAACAAAACAATGAACCTAACTAAATAATGGGCAGATTTATAAAATATAAAATCATAAACCCTGAATGAGAAAATTACACCTACACAGATATTAATAACAGTGTTATTTACAATGGCCAAAAATTAGAAACCCTTCATAGTTCATTAACAGGTCAAATGATTTTATTAAAAGCAGTATATCAAATAGTACTCAGGAATTCTATTCACCGATACCAAATAGGAAGAGCATCAAAACAACACAAACAAAACAAATATAACACAGCTATTCCATAAAATTAATAAAACTTAATCAACAGTATAGTCTGAGACACTTTACAAGTCCTCATTCTGTTACTAAATATATCCAAAACTATAGAAAACAGAACTATGCATAGTTGTTAAAAACAGACATGAGATTGGATGAGCAGAAAGTTGGTAAAATGATGCACTTCAAAGGATATTGGTATCAGGCTTCCCTGGGTAAATCTATCCATAACCAAAATTCTAACTAAAATTATAACAATTATATCTTGCTACATATTATTAGCCTCTTGAGTAAAATATGCATTTATATACATGTATGTATAATTAAAAAGAAAGGTCATGGTTTTATATGGTAGTTAACTGCATTAGTCTTTTTAATTACTGTTCATGAATAACCATTATCAGTAAAATATAAACAATAAAGACTTCCTTATTTCAGTACTAAATACCTGCTGTAGATAACTTTCATTAACAAAGTAAGAACAGATTCATGGTACAATCAAGTGATTACCTCAAATGCCCAACCTAATGAATAGTTTAAAATTGTCACTAAGAGCCTGAAGGTGGAGGTTTATAGTTAGTGTCTCAGGGAGTAATTGGGTGTTTACAATTTAAAAATTAGTTATAGATACTACTTAATGAGGATTAAATCTATTAATGATTTCTTCAAAGCATTTCAAAATGTCAATATTACACATAATAACAGTAATCACGTATATTTAATGTTTTTAGATAAAGAAATTTCTATATAATCTTTTTAAAAATTATAACTTTCATAATGCAAGAAGCAAAAGGAAGAAATAAAATGTCCTGAAACTACATCCTTCTAGATTTCTTTGCTATCTAGAACACATGACAGTATGTCGCCTGGCTGCCTCCTGTAGTTGGGATAGTCTGTCCTTTCAGTCTGCATCCCAGAGTCTTCAGCATCAAAAGAGAAGTCTGCTTTAATTTGGAGTTTCCTAGAATCAGAATTAATGAGTGAGCTGAAGGATACATGAGTCCAGTTATCATACAAATAATGTGAACAGGTTCATTATGATGCTTCTCAGCAATCCATGCTATCAGAAGGGACAGAAAGTAAGTGGCATAGAGAAGGAGGAAGGAGACCATAATTTTCATGGCATTTGTGTGTGCCTTGGAACTGGGGTCTCTGTGTCCTCTGAAATTGAGCTGCATCTTCTGCAGATGTGTCCACAAAGAGAATAATAGCAGGAGAAAGGACATCAAAGCCAATGAAAATGGTGTCACAGAGAACAAAGTCATGTTGAATAAAGTCAGCTCTGAAAACACAGCAAATCGCATACCCTTTAAACTCACAGTTGTGTTTCCTCCATATTGATGGATCCTCTCTTCAAGAGTGATGCTTGTTTGCATCAGATTTGCAAGCAAGAAGGGGAAGCTTCCCAGCAGTACCCCCACAATCAGTTTCTTAAGTCTCCATTTCAAGTAGAGAAAGATCTGCCTGGAAAAGTTAGCTATCCTGAATAAATAAAAGATGCTGAGGGCCGTGGCGAGCCAGAGACTGAAGTGGCTAGAAAGCATCCAACTAAAATAAAGAATTTGTATTTCTATTCCAATCACAGATAAAGATGGATCACATAGAGTATTAAACCAAATATATATTTCCCAGATAAGAGTAATTCTTGAGATCGCCAGTGTAAGAAGTATTTTATCCATTGAGGAAAGCTTTTGTTTAGTGATGCAGCCCAAGAAGCTTGACAGCACTATAAATCCATTGCTCAGATTCCCAAAAATGAACTCTGCAACTATGACAATAGTGGCAAAGCTATGCAGGACAGGGTCCATGTTCAGAGAGAGTTCGATGTCTAATAGGACTGCTTGTCATAGGCTGACCAGGTCCCCGTGTGTGCTACAATGTGCTGTTAAATTCTTTCTTCCCTTTGTTCTGCTGGTTCTGAAATCTCTTGATAGTACAACAAGCTGAACATTTCCTGTTTAGCATCTAATCTGCACATTTTCTTGTTAAGTTTTCTGCAATTCCCTCTACAGTCTTTGTTAGCATGTTTGTCCACACCATGGGCTGGAATGTTCAGCAGATGATTTAGAAAAGAAGCCAAACTCAAATTTTCTAATATGCAAATCTTACATGTTTTCTTCCACTGTTTTGCATTTTCATCTTGTTTCAGCTTAAGGGAATTTGGTTGGGCCCCTTGAGTTCTAAGGTCATGGGTTACAAAATTACAATATGAAGCTTAGTGAAGTCTGCTCTACAGCCTTGCCACTGAGGACTTAGGGAAAATGCTGAGACCAGTTTGTGTTGTTTCATAAGACTTCAGCTTTTCCATAGCTCAGGGTTCCCCCTTTTAACAAAGAGAGGAAAATGGCACCCAAAGAATGAAAGAGGTATTCATGTGACAAATCCATAGCCCTCTCTCAAGAGAGTCAGCAAAATTCTGAAAATACATAGATGTATGAAAATAGCTAATTTGATATTAATGTCAACAAAATACTTGCAATACTATCTTATCTTGATGGTAGAAAATGTATAGCTTTATTGCTTTATGGGAAAAATACTTCATAAATGCATTATTCATAGTTTTAAAAGGTCTATATTTTATTAGTCTTATGCATTTGATCAGGTGGTTTTCAGAGCAAGAAGATATTTACCGTTAATATAATTGCATCATCTTTGCTATCCCTTTTCCATGCTATTAGTCATATACATCAAGGAACTTGAAATCCAGGCACAGGAGGGCTAGTTATTTGGAGCTCGGGAAGTGAAAGAGGTACTCTGAGTAACGATAGGATGACAATTCTTCTGCAGGTTGGTCATGTACATCAACCTCCCATTGCTCAAAGCTCAGAAAACTTCATGGAAGAGGCATGGATGAGGAGAGAGCTGGGATATGCCAATGCCTGGACATGATATGGAAGTTGTACACATTAGCACACAGCAGCTGCAGTTGTCGATGTGTACAACAACTGCATAAGACCAAGCCAGTCAAAATTCTAGCACATGTTGGGTAGGGAATCTGAAGTCCCATCTGAATTGGGAGAGTTTTGTAAGCTGATGTCCATTGAAGTAGGTAGCATCAGTTTCCTTTGGAGACAAGAAGCATTAAAAAGTTTTCCATGCCTAATCTGGCTACAATCTATTCATTTGGATATGGGTGCCACTAAGTGGGTATTGGGAATTATTAATAACAAACATGTATGAAGTTGAAAAGGAAATAGTGTGGTGGGCACTAGGGGAAGTTGATGGGAGGTAGCGAGGCACCGATATGACCAGTGTACACAGTATAAATGCAAGACCATTTCAAAGAATAAAAAAAAAAGATTTTAAATAAATACATGGAATGATAATAAAGTAAAAAATAAAGAATTCTACAAAAATTGGTTTATACATTGTATAGTGATGTGTATTTAAAAATTGTTCACTTTTATTTATTTTACTTTATGGGTATAAATGTTTTGCCTGAATATTTGTATGTGTTCCACATGCATACCTGTTGCCTGAAGCAGTCAAAAGTGGGCATCGGATCCTCTGGAACTGGAGTTACAGTGGCTATGCCCCACAACACAGAACTGGGAATTTAACCCGGGTGCCTTTCAAGAGCAGCAAATACTTCTAACTGCTGAACCCCTACTCCAGCTCCTGACGTATGAATATTTTTTTCTTTGCTAGAGGTTCAGCCAATGGCCTTGTGCCTGCATGTAAGTTCTCCAGAATGGAATAGCACTGCTATCATTCTCTGTGCACTCTTAAAAGTTGTTGTGCTCTAGGGTATCATTTAAGGTAGTCATCAATTCACAGTGCACGGATGGACTTTGGGAGCCCATTCCCCCCTGGAGGGACACTCTCTCAGTCTAAATACATGAAGGAGGTGGGGCAAGCCTAGGCCCTTCCCCAAATGATGTGACAGACTTTGATGATCTCCCATGGAAGGCATCACTCTGGTCAGTGGATGGGGAATAGGACCAAGTTGGGGGGGTTGGAGGGAGAGGGAACTGGGATTGAGATGTAAAATAAGTTTTTTTTCTAATTTAAATTTAAAAAGTTGTGAAATCTTTTGCATATTTCTCATATCACACTACTTTTATTATCTCTATTGTGATTTTTTTTCATGGCTTGAAATTAATGTGAGGGCAACAAATGCATTGATCAACTCTGCATTTAATATGCCCCTTTGTTTTTATGCTACTATTCATCACATGTTCTAGGAATGTGTATAACTAGAAGTTTCCCTTATTTGTAAAGTTGTATTTTTGAGTTCTTGGGTGAATTTAAAGGAGTTGTTACATAAATACTTTCTAGCTTTGACCATATTTGTGTAGGTTATTTATTTCCTTATTTATTTTTAAAATCTTTTTTTGTTTGTTTGTTTGTTTTTCAAGACAGGGTTTTTTTTTTCTGTGTAGCTTTGGAGCCTGTCCTGGCACTCTCTCTGTAGACTAGGCTTGCCTAGAACTCACAGAGATTTTCTGCCTCTGCCTCCCGAGTGCTGGGATTAAAGGCGTGCACCACCAACACCTGGCGAAGTTTTTTATTTCCGTATGAAATCTTTCATGAACTTTCAAGTTTTTTAAATGACTTTCAGAAGAGACTTTATCACAGAATTTCCTGCTAAACTGACTCCTTTTGTTTACTTTAAGTTAATGGAACAACTTACCGTTTTTCCACATTCTTGACTTCCATGAGATTTCCATTCATTGTGAGTTGCTGCACTTATTTAAATATAACTAGAATCACCGAAGACACCAGATAGCCTTAAGTTTTCTTTCCTGTGCGAACTTTCCAAATACTTTAATAAATTTTTATTTAAATTAGAAACAATCTTACTTTATATATCAACCTCAGTTTCCTCTCTCTCCCATCCTCCCATGTCCCTCACCAAACCCCCATCCCAACCCCCATCTAAAGCCAAATGCAATGTCAAGTAAGAACTAGATTGATAACAGTTTATTAAGACAGTACTCATGCAACGGAACCAGTGACCAGGTTTACACTGGATGCCTGCTTGTCGGTTCAGCCAGGTGAGAGAGGGGAAAGAGAGGGCCGAGTGCATGCATTTCTGATATTTAAAACCTTGTTGCATCACTCTGACCATGCCCAATTGGGCGTGGTCAGTGGAGCCTGTGCTAGCCTCAAGCAGGTGTGGTCGGCATTACCTGTGTCCCAGCCCCAAGTGTGGTCAGCATTTCGCCCTATACTCATCCATTCCCCAGGGAAGGTGAGGCCTGTCTGTCACATCATTTGGGACAATGCCTAGGCCCTCCCCCAATGCCTAGGCCCTCCCCGTATATCCAGGCTGTGAGAGTATCCCTCCATGGGGCATGGACTCCCAAAGTCGATTTGTGCACTAGGGATAAATACTGGTTCCACAGCCAGAGACCCCATAGACTGCCAGGGCCTCCTAACAGACACCCACATTCAAGGGGCTTGGTTCTGTCCTATGCTCGTTCCCCAGCGGTCAGAAATGTCTCCTGGCTTTGTAAACTTCCTCTTTGAGAACAATTTTGTCTTGAAAAATCGCTGAAACAATTCAAGGGCTCTCCAACATCCCACCCATTGACAAGCCTTCTCTCTGCTGAGAGCGATTTCCTGTACTTGAATGCAACTGAAACTGCTTGGCCACATGCTTTTCACCTTTACAGGATTTCTCTACAGGACAGTTCCCTCATGGCTTTGAAATAAACTGAATTACTTAAGATTTAACATATGATTTACAACAATAGATTTTTCCATGCACTATGTAAATATTACATATTTGAATGCAACATGGAACTCTTGACTATGGACACTTTTTCACATTTCTTGCACTAATTACGCCATGCTTTAATGTTTATCATTACGTGATACATTGTTTATCATTAGTAAAGTCTGCCTGAGGATTCAGAGAGCAAAATCAGCCTCAAACTATAGAGATCAGGCAGTGGTAACACACACCTTTAATCCCAGCATCCAGAAGTTAGGAGGTGGTGGCACACACCTTTAATCCCAGGACTCAGGATTAAGATGTAGACAGATCTTTGTGAGTTCAAGGCCACCCAGATCTACACAAGATTGATCCAGTTCTAAGGAGGGGATTTGAAGGGTTTATGGATTTTTTCTTAACTTCTGTCTGTTAATTTACATTTATTATATGTGTTCATAAAATAAGAACTTCTGTGGACTCAAAGTAACTACTGTGTTTCTATATTCATGGGTGTTTTCCTGTTTACATTCTTTCAAGTCTTAGGAAAGAACTGAGGTTATTAAGGGCAGAGATGTGACTTATAAACAGCATGGAAGTCATGATAAACAGCTGAGACTGTGAATCCCGCATGGTGGAGTAGGCCTTTAATCCCGGCACTCAGAGGGCAGAGGTGGGCAGGTCTCTGTGAGTTCAAGGCCAGACTGATCTACATGAGCAAGTTCTAGGACAGCTAGAGCTGTTATACAGAAAAGCCATGTCTTGAAAAACCAAACTACAAAAAAGAGAAAGAAAGAAAGAAAGAAAGAAAGAAAGAAAGAAAGAAAAGAAAGAAAAAGGAAAAAAGAAAAGAACTGAGACTGAATACTAATATTTTAGTTAGTACGGGATTATGAGAAAAGTATTGCTGAGGAGTACGACATCCCTCTTAAACTTATGCATGGTCTTGTGAAAGTTTCCATCAATAACATGCTGTGGGCATACCACATTGCTTCTGAATGAGCTGACGCCCTACGGGAATTCCCAGTTTTCCTTGAGCTATACAGGGTCCAAGAAATAACTGTGTGTCAGCTTACACCCTTCTATAGGCACAATACTTTTGGACAAACCACAGAAGCAGAAATAACACAATGCTTTAAGAAAAATGAGAATAATGTGAAGTCCTGTTATTGAAGTAAGTGTGCAATGTACTAATTT